ATGCAAAAATCCCCCCCCCCCCCAGGAAGATGGCTACACCACAATCTCTTCTCCTCCATTTTCCTCGGAATCTTGGGCACGCACGCACACGCGCCCAGCGTGAGTTTAAGCCACTGGGTCTGGGACTTGAACCACGGCGGACTACATGGGAGTCCAGCGACATAGCCATTACACCAACTGCTGGCCCCAGTTATTTTTTTTATAATAAAAAGTAATTTAAAAGTAATAGTCTAGTCTTTGTCTATTACTCATAGATCTGACCACAAACCCAAATTTATTGTGATTCAGTAATAGACAGTAAATTTCTTTATTCACAGCTTTGATTACAGGAAAGAACTTGATATCAAGACATTGTGAGTCTGAGTCTAGAGATTTAAAGCTTCAAAAATCCTTTATCAGTAGAAAACAACCTGGTATAACCACATTTCTGCCCAAGTAAATAGAGTGGCCACTTTTCAACCACTGAGTATTTTCTGAGAAGCTTCTCTGAACATTCCTACCCAATTTACCCAGTGCTCCGGTAACCTGACAACGAATACATAGCAAGCATCCTCCCTTTTTGTAATGAGACATCTGACCTGTTTCATGAAATCTTAATAACAGTAATTTATTTTAATATTTAGCCTACATATTCTAAATGATTCCTAATCACATAAACCATTGGGCGCCTAGTAAATATTTCTGTTTCGGGAAGACCCATTTAACAGTTGCATACTCGAGCACACAATGGCTGGTGCCCTTTAGTACCACACCTCGGACCATAGCGCTCAGTGGTTCAATCAAGTGAATGACTCATTCTCTTCAAACAGTGAGTCAGATACAAGTAGACATTTAAACTCAGGTCTCTGTTCATGATTTCTTAGATCAAGGGTCAGCTGCCTTCTCAAACACTTTGCCATGTGTATTTTTTATCATTCACTCCTAAGAGGGAGTCATTTAGCCTGAAGAACATGCAGGAAGCATTTGCAGTCCAAGAGAGCCAAGAAAAGGATTGTATGGCTAAGACAAGGAGGTGATGGTTGGGGAATGTTAGAGCTCGCTCTCTCTCTCGTTCTCTCTTCTCCATTCTCCTAATATTTATTAAAGGAAACATTACTCCTCAGGAATGCCCTCCGATGTCCAATAAACAAAGACCTCTGAGAAATGACCACATCTGAAAATCGCATCTGCAAGTTTAATGAGCAGACTGGAGAAGGTAAGAGAGGCTTATAAGGAAGGTTAAAAAGTAGTAAAAAGTGGAACCAGCAGGGGGCATGATGGTTAAGGTGCCAGATATAACCACGTGACTAACCACAATTAGACTCCCCCACCACAGTTAGACTCCTGGGTCCTGGTAGCTTGCTTTCTCACTCCCTCTCCCTCTCCCTCTCTCTCTCTCTGGTCAAATTAAAATGAATGAATGAATGAATGAATAAATAAAAATTAAGTAAATAATTATTTTTTTAAAAAAGACTAGTAAAGGGACCAGCAGTTGGTGTAATGGCTATGCCACTGGACTCTCATGTCGTCAACCGACCGCAGTTTGCATCCTGGACCTGGTGCCTTGAACTCACGCTGGGCACGTGTGCATGCATGCCCAAGATGCCAAGAGGAGAATGGAGGAGAAGGGATTGCAGCATGGCCATCCACTTTTGGGGGGGGGGCGGATTTTTCACTTTCTGTCTCTCTGTCTCTGTCTTCCTGGCAAGCGCACGTGCCCTATAGCAAAAACCTCTAAAAAAAAGACTAGTAAAAAGGAAAATAAAAACTTTATCCTCTCATATACTATTAACAAAGGACTTCAGTGTGTATACTTCTCCTTACTCCCCCGGGGACAGTAAGGCTCATGTCATGTTGGGGGTCTCCAACCAATCATATTGTTATGACTATTGTCTATTATGTTAGTCTATTATAACAGACCAAGAAGCTGCCACTTTTTTTTAATTAAAGAATTATTTGACTTTTTCATTTATTATTATTTTCATTTTTAATTGGTTATAGGGCACATGTGCTCACCAAAGAGAAATGGGGGTTGGTGGGGGAATGAGAAAACAAACTGCCAGAACTGGGACTCAGACTGCTGTCAACCCTGTGGGAGTCCAATGCCTTAATCACTATGCCACCTGCTGGGCCTGAAGCTGCCATTTTTTTAAAAAAATGAAAATAACGTAATCTTTTAATATTTGCTAGTCTCTTTTCCTAAAAAATATTTTAGTAAATACTTTTTTGGGCCATGGAGAATAATGCTGATATTCATTGTCATAAATCTGTTCTTTAAAAACAAGAAAAACCTGTGCTTGTGTGCACACACACAGACACCATTCTCTTTTCCCTGCCATTTTTATTTTGCTATCTTCATTTGCAGTTCAAGTTAAAATATGATGGAAAGCAACAAACTATAGGACTGAGAGGCATACTAAGGGTGTATACCTACGTACTGTTTTCCTTTGCTTAACTATCCCAAGGTCTTTTCTATTCTCTGAGAACTTCTATATAAAACTTCTATAGTTTCTCCCATATTTGTAAATATCCTATTATCACTGGATTATGATATAAAAGCATATTTCAGCATGAATTAAATAGTAAATTAATGTGTACTTATATGCCACATTTTAGCCATATTAAACTTTTTGTAGAGGTTTTTACCATAGGGCACGTGCATTTGCCAGAGAAGAGAGACAGAGACAGTGAGAGGAAAAGTGAGAAATCACCCCCCAGGAGGCAATCCCTTTTCCTCCATTCTCCTCATGGGATCTTGGGCATGTATGCACAAGCACCTAGTGTGATTTTCAAGCCACCAGGTCCAGGACTCATTCCACGATCATCCATGTAGAAGTCCAGCAACGTAACCGCTATGCCACTTGTTGGCCCCAGACTTTTAAAAATGTTTTTTTTCCTGCCATGAAGACTCCATTGGCTTCCCATTACCTGTGTGATGGAGTTCTCAGTCCTTAGGATGTTCTGGTCCCTGCCTGCATCTCTAGCATCCACCTCTCCCACCGGAGCTGGCACTCTGGCTAGAAGGACCATCTCCTAGGTCCTTGAATACATGTGCTTTTCTACTGAGAGTCTAGATAATGCTTCACCCCAGACTGTAGTCTCTTATGTTCCAAGCCTGAATTTGAACTGTTTTGGAGAAATATTTTCTGCCCTCCCATCACTCCCCATCAGGTTGGATTAGCTGCACCTGTTCTCAGTACCCTTCTTCACGGCATCTATCCTGGTTGTAATTCTTTGTTCGATGTCTCACCTCCTATTGTAAGGACAGACACTGTGCCTGTTGTGGCCACTGTTCTATTATCACTTCCTTAACTAAGTACCTGCTACAGGGGTGCTCAATAAATGTGTGCAGAAGCAGTGATTTTATTTTTTTGAGAGAGAGTTTTTTGTTCTTTGTTTGTTTGTTTTTGCTATAGGGCATGTGTGCTGACCAGAGAGACAGAGACAGAGACAGAAAGTGAGAAATCACCCCCTAGGGGGATGGCTACACTGCAATCCTTTTTCCTCCATTCTCCTCTTGGGATTTTGGATATGCATCCACATGCATCCAGCATGAGTTTTAAGCCACTGGGTCCAGGACTTAAACCGCAGTTGACTACATGGGAGTCCAGCCACGTAACCATTATTCCATCTGCTGGTCCCCAAAGCAATGAATTTTAAACAAAACAGAAATTTGCCCCATGACTTTCATGCAAATGCTTAACATTCTTGGTCACTGAACAGAATCTTCTTTAGACATTATCCCTAAGCAATAAGAAAAGAACTTGCTGGGCCTCAACCAATCTGGGTAACTGAAACCTGCTATTATATTTAATAAAATGAAAGTTTCAATTAAATGAAATTTACTTAGGCAATGAGTAAAGAGCACACTTGTGAGATTATGGATAATTCATTGATTATCTCATAGCAAAGTCAGACTTCAACCTAGGGGGAAAGGTCTTTATTTTCTAAATTATTTTTATTTAACTTCGTGTATTCCAGTTTGGAGATAGTAAAGCAGCTAAGCCTTTCATTACATGGCGGAAGAAAGACTTACAGTTGAGGGGGAGATGGCAAGTGAGAAGAGAGGCCATCAGTTAATTAGGAAATAGGACAGAAAAATTAGGTTTTAAAATGTAGAGGTTGGACAGTGGTGCAGTGTTAACCAATGTTCTCTCACATGGGAAGGTTCCATGTTCATGTCCAGAGGCCTACCTGAGTACACTGGCGTACATGTGCCCATAATCCAGGCCTGGCTGGGATGGATTGCAACATTAAGACCGTCTTGGTGGTGCTGTCTGTCTGTCTTACTCATGGAATAAACATATATATTTTTTAAATCAGAAAGAAAATTGGATCCGAATGTATAATGGAAAGCTCAGCAGTCTCTATTTCTCACTAGGAAAGTATAAATTCTATTTATAAATGTTCCTATAAATTCATTATTCACATATAGAAAAGTATTCATAAATTTATTATTACTTTTTTCCTTCTATCTTTTGATAGGCCTAAGTAGATTGATTATAAGAGTCTTAAGGAAAGGGCCATATCAAATTTCAAATTACATGAAATAACTAAATCTCTGGAAACAAGTTCTGCAAATTCAATTTAATAATGTGTATAACATACCTGACAGTGCCTGGCACTTAGTGGACACTCAATGAATCATCCTACTCTTTAAGAGTGAATTACAACTCCATATAAGCTCTAATTTATGTAAGTTAAACTTATTTTAACGGACCAGCAGGTGGTGTGGTGGTTAAGGCGCTGGATCTCACATGGCCAACTCTGTGGTTCAAGTTCTGGATGTGACAGCTTGAGAAATACGCCGGGCACATGTGCGTGTGTGCCTAGAGTCTCGAAAGCAGAATGGAGGGGAAGGGACTGTGGTGTGGCCATGATCTCTGCTAGGTGACTTCTCACTTTCCTCCTCCCGTCTCTCTGGTGAGCGCTTGCACTCTCTGGCAAAAATCTAAAAATAAAACACACACACAAAAACTATACCACTGAATGTGTAGAGAAGGAGGTACACAACACATCACCTCAGAACTATACAACCAATTCTATCATATGACCAATTGCCAAGAGAGGAGATGCTTTCACCTCCTTACGGAGGATGTCTCAACTCAATTGCTGTTTTATGTCTAACCAAGGTGAGATACAAAGTCTGTCTCAAAGATAAAGAAGATGAGGAGGCATCTAAGGAGCAAAACCAGTTGCTCATGCTTTCCCCTGACCTCTTCAAACCAACATGATTCTGACTTGCATTTTCTCCCTCTCGCCTCTCTCCTCCATTGTGTGTGATGTTTCCATTGTGGTCCTCCAAGTTATTCCATGCTTTGTCCATGAAGACACAGTTTCAGTTCTTCCTCAACGGTGTCCCTATAGGGGATCAAGCCTATAGGGGATTTCCAAACATTTCCAAAATGTAGCACCAATGACTTAATGTTACAGGAGGTTATTAACCGTAGAAAAAAGCTGCAATTCACTTTCTGTAAGTAGTTGAGGGGCAGCCAAATTTTAACATTAAAAAATTAGAGTTCGGCATCTATAGAGAATGTTCAATGGGAGTTCAAGCCCCATCTTTGCTCTTTTAAGATCTACTTGTATCTAAACCAAAACTTTGCTTCTGAGAATCTTAATCTGGGTGTATCCTGAGAGTAAGAAGAAATTTGAGTTCTAGATTCTCTAGAATTTTAGTAATTACTCATTTAATCTTCAAAAATATATTGAGGGACCAGCAGTTAGCGTAATGGCTGTCGCTGGATTCCCACGTAGTCGACCGCGGTTCATGTCCTGGACCTGGGGGCTTAACTCACGCTGGGCGTGTGTGCGTGTGTGCCCAAGATCCCGAGAGGAGAATGGAGGAGAAGGGATTGTGGTGTGGCCATCCCCCCTGGGGGCTGATTTCTCGCTTTCTGATTCTCTGTCTCTCTCTGTCTGTCTGGCGAGCACACACGCCCTATAGCAAAAACCTCTCAAAAAAAAAAATATATATATATAGACAGCTTTCATTGTATTGGCTCACTGGGATTCAAATGAATAATACAATCTTGCACTCAGAGCTTAAAGTTTGGAGGAGGGGACTGGCAGGTGACGTGTGGTTAAGGTGCTGGATTCCCACATGGCTGACCATGGTGTGAGTCCTGGACCTAGAGGCTTTAAAAACACAACAAAAAAAAAAAAGGGAAAAAAAAAAAAAAAAAAAAAAAAAAGTTTAGAGGAGAATTAAGTAAA